ATGGGGTCGTAAGCAAATGTTTCATTTTCTCAAGCTTGACTTTAAACACACATCTGATCTCTGAACAATGTTTTTGTGGAAAGAGAGCCTGTCTCAAAAATTTAGCTTCTGATATGCATCAACACAATGATGAGCATAACATAACTGTCGTTACTACCTCTCTGTAGTTGGCTCTAGATATGTAACACTTTGTGCTACAGAAAGCGCTGAAAACAAATTTTTTGAGGATTGTTTTTTGCTTTAGGAAGTTATGAAAAATAATTGTGCTAAAGGACCTCTAAATTGATAGTTAATACTATCCAAAACTTAGAAATACCAGGGCTCTCTTACTTCATCTGATTTATGTAGTTATTTGTACTTCAGCAAGATTTCTCTGACAGGTTTATCTGTTTACTTCATACGATTTCTACTTCATTTAATATATGGAACTGAAGATGAATAAACAAGAAGTACAGAGCAGCAAAAAGTTGAAAGCCTTATCCAAATATTATAGTCTGAGATATGTTGGGTTCTGAGATACTTGCAGCTATCTTACAAGACAATATTTTTGTTTCACTCAAGACCTACTCTGAATATAAACCCACAGTAATAGTATTAGTAGGAGTCAAATATTTTTTATATTTATAGAAGAATAAAATTATTACAATGAAACATGAGACAGCATTGGGTTTGCATTAGTTTCAAAAAACATTTGCTATTTATGATAGCATACTGAATTCTTACACAGAAGCTTGGCTTAGTATATTTAATAGTATCATGTATTATTATTCCACACTAGGCTGCCTCCTTTTAAAATGATAATTGGGATAGCAAATTCAATCAGAACCAAAGTTTGATGTCTGTCTAAGCAAGTTCTCACTTCATGGCTTTGTTTTGCTAAGTACACTTCCACAGCTGGGAACAACTGGGTGTGTCAGTTCTGAAGAGCTGGGTAAGGAAGTGCTTAGCATTTTTAAATGGTAACTGTGCTGTCAACTCAAAGTTGCCAAGCTCGTATTATGTTCTGTGATAGAACTAGAAAATAATAAAATGAAATATTATGACAACCTTGTATTACTGAAAAAAAAAAAATGCTGCATTTTAAGATAACATCTGATTCAAAACAATAAAATCCCAGGCTAAAATATATAGAGATTTTTTTTCAATATATATATATATAAGAGGAACACATGCATTTACACAAATATCTGAGACAATATACGTATGACTGTCGGACACAGTATGTGTGAAATAAGTCCATCTGGATAACTTTTATTGGAAAACATGACACATTGCTGTACTATACCACTGAACAATAATTTGTGCAGATTTACAGAAATACTGAAATATAAGTCTCAGGCATTAATCTATACACATTTTCATTGGCAGAAAATAAACCATCCATGCCAGTATATTTTTCCACATCACTCAACAACTAATCTCTTTGCTGATCTGGCAAAGCATAGTTTGCAATCCTTTGAACAACAACCAGTAATTTTAACCAGCCCTCTTCACACAAACTTCTAAACAATAAAATTTTAAGCAGCTTTTCCTTTGCAAAAAGGATAATCGCATAATCACTTGGAACTAAGAGTCTCCAACATACTGGAAATTTAAGAGGATTCTTGTCCCACATATAAATAGTAATTACAGAGAAGGGTTTCACATTATGCCTGTACATCATCTCAGTCACCATAAAAATGCTAATAATTAAAAACCAATTGAAAAGTTGCAACCTTATTTCCAGATAGGAAAATTATTTCTTACTATAGCTTCTGGCAAGACACAAGCAACAGAGAGTCTTACCTTGCTCAAGTGACAACACCACACTATATAAAAACAAGAATTGGTAACTCCTAATGGCTTGACACTGACATATATTGTTGATGATGCTGAAAGATACATTGGCACCAGTCAAGGTGCAGTGAAAGGCAGCAAGCACACCCAGATACAATAGCAAGCAAGAAGCAGAAAATAGCTTGGCTAGTTGGGAAGGGAGCATAACCAGGTGGGACAGGTCAAAGTCTGTTAAGATGCCCAAAGGCATATAATTTCCCATAATATAAGAGACACCAAATGTAACTGTCAGGCATCAGACACAGGAGGAGCAAAGGAAATACTTCACATAATGCATTGTTAGACTGAAGACTTTCCCAATACAAGACATCCTGAGTGTCGGAGGCATTACAGGGTTCAAAAAGCAATTGGACAAACTCATGCAAGGCCAAGCACAGCTCAGACAGAAATGCAACCTCCCAGTCAGTGTTAGAGGTTGGTTTTGCTCCAAGATATGAAGACAACTCTGGTGGTCTTCTTAGTGCTAGAGGTGGACCCACCCTTTCAATGATATCCTCCTCTTTACACACTCTTTTCACATACAACACAAGTTGGCATTTTCTGTCTGGTAGTAAATATGAGTTGCCTACCAGAGCACTAAGTACTGCTCTCAGCAATCCCAGCCTTAAAAAGCTTACTGTTTAAGCAACAGTTGACTTAATCTACTTTGGGTAGATAAAAAGCACATATTAACAGTGGTGCTGCACTAGAAAACAGGAATACTATCAAGGTGTCAAAATACATGCTGCTTCAGGCACACATTAATATTATCCTGTATAACCTATCACAGCTGATTCAAGATGTGGGCAATTAGCCTCAGGTGATGGCGGCTAAAGAAATTTGCTTAGGAATGCCAGATAGCCCAAAGTGAAATGCAATCTTTTATAAAAATCAGCATACAAGAAAGTCTTCCCTCCTCATGACAAGAAATGATTTACTTTTAATGCTGAAACCAGGGTTAACAGAGGATAACACAAAAGCGATGCATGTAACAATATCCCTTTCCTGACGACTGACATCCAACAAATTTTGAAATATAATATACATTCAAGTGGAGTTAGAGACACTTCTATTACATTAAAATCTCTCTCTCATATACATATAGATTGATCAGCAAGCTCCTGATCAGCATTTCTTTCCTGACACATATACGACTTCCTCTGGAAACTGTCTGAAGACTAGCTTGCCCCCTGGGTGATCAAATAATGCATAATTAACTTTTCAGCAGAGAGTTACCTTTGTATAACTTATTTCCTCTATTTCTTGGAATAAAATGTCCCTCCTGTCCCTCCACAAACTCCTAAACATGTCAAAATGTGTTAGCATAGCTCAGTTACCACTTTACAGCGTGGTCAGATACAGAAGTTTTGAATTACTTTGTAAGCATTTTAAACATACTGTGGCAGTGTTATATGATACATAATGTGTGGAAAATCGAACTTTTATTGAAACAAATTAAAAAGAGTACAGCTGTATAGCTGGCAGCTCTTTCAACTATAACCCAGACTCCCTGCACTGCTGTCCACAAGACGCAATCAAATCTGCTTTTTTGAAAAAAACACTAATTAATCTATTGCAAAGCAAGTCTGATGCAATATGCCTGTTGCCTTATGACAAATTCACATTCCGACCTTATTCTGCTCCTGGAAGTAGAACTAGTAGTGCTGAAAGAATCCAAAGAAACGAAACAAAACAGAAGAAACCCACAGTTATGGACCCACTAGACTAATTTCATGGCTGACCTCACTTGGGCACTGCAGTTAACATAGGGACAAGTTGGACAGCATAATTTGCACAACAGTTTGTTAACTCTCTACCTATCTGACCTCCCCTGGCTTTCAGGCTGTCGTTATTTACATTGCTGAAGACCAGCTCCCAATAGTGTCCAACCATCTCATCTATACCGGTAGAGTAAGCCTCAACCAAAATAACTTCACCACAGGTTTTTGTGGATAATTAAGGCTTGCCAGAGGTTACCAAGCCTCTAGCTTTCAGTGTGATATACGAGCCAGGTAGAGGATACCAGCATTCTGGAGGGATGCCAAATCCCAAACACCACATTAGCAAGAAATTATGTTTCAGGTATGACTCAAAGCCTGGAAAAACACATTTCCATCTCAAGTATCAGACCTCAAAAATGCATGAGCTTTCATTCCGAAACCAGGCGAAGAGCATGTTAACATAGCACCATCCAGTCCACCTACAAGATATTTAATTAAAGCAGTTGGATGTCATTTCACCATATTTTCTCCTGGTATTTACAGAAGGATCACTGCGTGTTCCTCTTTTATAGAGCTGATAGCTTAAGACAGGAATCAGTTCTTAACATTTAACTTGACAGGTTTTCAGCACAGCTCACTAAAGCTTTTCCTGTTTGGAGATGACAGTAAACTCATCCTTTGTACTAACACAACAAAAGCAACTAATCCTGTAACAAAACAAGAAGTCCCATGAAGATATTTCTGTCACACATTCAAAACACCATATGTAGGCATTTAACAGGTGTTTCACCTTAATCCCTCAGAAACTAGAAGAGACTATGAGACTCAGTAGCCCTGAAAGTAGCAAATTCAGTAACTACATTTCAGAAACAAACTATTTTGATTTCAGAGGAAAACTCTTTCTCTGTAAACATAACAATTACTCTATGCCTTTCAGCACTTAGTCTCTACCCTTACACGCTTTGAGGGGAAGTGTGACACTCAGTGACAAACATCTGACTAATATTTGGAGTGGTGAAGACAGCAGCCCTTTAGGAATACCATGCCCAAGAACCACAGCAATTCAGATAATCATCAGAAATACCACCCCAGCCTTTCAGATTTTATGTCAGTAATATCAAAGCATAAAGAAAAGTGATGCTTGTTATATCATTTAACAGTTAGTTTTGCTCTGAGCTTAAAATAACCTGAACAGCTTCCATTTTATATATTAAACACTGTAAATATTCATCAACAATTAGCTTGCTTGTGTGAGGTATAATAATTCATTTCTGAAATTCAATTTGTGCAAATCTTATTGACCAGGTTTAAGAATGCATAAACCCTCACCACAGTATTCAGAACTGCTTTTATCAGGTTAAAATAATTTTCCATAGGCAAACGTTTTTAAAAATGGACTGAGAAACATATTCAGTTAAGATTAGAAGGAGAAGGGGAGGGAAAAAACAAAACCACAGAACTCACTTGACTGTAACTCGATTGGACAAATCCTGAAGATCTCCTGGATGAAAAAGCTGAGCTTCTTTCAGTCCAATATTTTCGCAAGCTTTCAGAAAAACATTTATATTATCCTGTGAAGAGAAGTAGAAAGCAGTTGCTTAGTTAAAAGCACTAAGCAGGTTTTGCAGGATGGTTAGTGTGAGCCACTAAATGTCAAAGCCCAGCTCATGGAAATAATAATAAAAAAACAAATCTTCTGGATCATAAATACAGGTCGTTTCTCCTATACACATGCAGGTTGCAATCTTAGCGACTGACTGGTACGTTAAAGATTACCTGGCATAAAGCAGCGGCTAGCCAGTAGGCAGCAATCTCTACTTTGATGTCAGCTCTGTTCAGCAAACAAACGCCCCCTTTCTGGCTTTGCACGACAAGCCTCACCTCTTGCCTTTAAAAATAACTCCAGCTACTGACATTCACCACCCAGAAACTCTTGGCAGGGGAGGAAGAGGAGGAACATGCTGTTTCTATGATTACAGACCGATTATGGAATACTGCACCTGGAATCTGGGTTTGGTTGCTGAGCAAGCTCCTGAGAGACAGAAACCAAACTGTATTCAGCCCTGCTGCTTCCTCACTTGTGGGGTTTGCTCTCCTCCTCGATCCTCCCCTTTCTCTCCACCCCCCTCCCTTGTAACACCAAGGTAGAAGGGACTGTAGGTGCAGTGTATTGCAGCACCCATTTGCTGCACCTGTTACAGATCAACTGACCAGCAGTAACAGGTTACAAGGGGGAAAAAAAAACAAAAGAAAAAACAGACTCCAATGATATACAGAGAGATTATACAACTTGTGATCTCTTTCCACTTCAAAAACAATAGGCAATAAGCAAGAAATTCCTTCTCGTTAACATGGAATGCTATCAACAACAAAAGAATTTGCCCTCTTGCGCACTTCAGTTTGGTTGAACGCCACAGGAAAAGGTACACAGAGTTACTTAATTCATAAACTGCATACAGCCATGTCATTCAGAGGGTTTGTCAAGTCAAAGTACTTTTATGAGTTTCACAGTATGAAAGAGCACCACATCAGCAATTTAATACATTTGAAATGCCCCCCAACCTTTTTTCTTTATTTATTTTTATGACATATCCTCACTGGATATAACAATATCTCATTTAAAACAGAAAAAAAAAATCCACAAAGAAAGTAACAGCTGCTTCAAATACAGACCAAAAAAAAAGTGTATGTTTTTACTTTAAGTAAAACAAACCCAAGAATCCCCACAACCTTCTGTTTTGAAGCTCCCTAGGATTCTAGTATTTCTTATCTGTCTGCAAACATGGTTTCATTCAAGGAAAATATTTGAACAAGGTATTCCCCATGCAGGCTGCAGGCTCGGTGTTTCCACATCTGAATGATCCCAGCTGACTCCCAACCCACCAGTGCTGTGCCCCAAGGTCTGACGTATGATATGCTCCAGTGGGGGCTGTTCTGCTGGAGATGGAGGGGGAGGAGAGAAGCAACTTGACAGTGACAGCAAGGGACGTGACATAGTGAGCACATGAGCAGAAGCAACGGGGAACAGTACAGGACAGGTAACCTCACCTCTGCACCAACTCCTACAGCACCCAAAGGCTGCCTACACATGTGACCAAGCTAGAGTTTTGTGCTGGGGGGTGTAGCCTAATGGGAAGGAAAAGGAAGTGTCCCCCATCTTCCTTGCACCTTCAAGGAAAGCTGGCTAGATGCACCATTTTTATTCAAGTGTCGCCTTGGTACCAGCACCTCAGAAACTTGAAAAGGCACAGTTTCCTTCACATGGGAGAGGCCACTAATTATGATCTATTATGATCTAACTACAAGGTCCAAAATAGTATGCTCTGACAGGTCTACCAGTTGCCAAACACAAAGCAGCCTCCCAGACTGACGGCTTATACCAACCGACCTGCAGAGAATGAGTGTATTGTGCAGATCAATGAGGAAGAAGAATCAGAGGTTTGGAAAAAACAAGTGCTGCCTACACCCCGAGTATAATAAAAACAGAAGTACTTGCTCATCAGTGGTGGCTCAGCTGTACAACCACCAAATTGTTGGTATATGACAGAATGAAGTTTGGAGGTGTTGTAGCAATTAAGCCTATCAAATATGAACTTCCTAATAAATAACATATATGGCACTTAGTGTGTGACAAAAAGGAAGGGGGACATTTAAAAGAAAATAAATAAACAATAAAAAAAAACAGCCAGTTATGGCACTCAATTATGTGCAGGCTAAAACACAGCTGAAAACCTTCCTTTCCACCAAACCAGCAGTTTGATCATGCTTACCATCTCTCAGGTGACTGTCCCAGCTGCAAATCCTCCTATGGCCAGGGCCCGGGATTCATACCCAAGCAGAAAGATCACTCAAAAGTCTGTTGCTTGAGCTTGGATATTGACCGAAAAAAGCGTACCTTCAACTAATCAGTACTTCTAGATAATGTATTTGCAGTTATTCTTGACCACCCCTAATCATCATGGTAGATCACTGAAGCTACAAGTCTCAAAATAGCTAACAGACATTTTAAAGTTTAACAGAATAATGAACCTGGAAATGAATTTTAATACCATAGAAATAAGCAGAGAAAAATGACAAGCTGTCAACAATTAGATTCATCATTGGAAATGTGAACAGGAACATCGTTCTGTGATTAATGCACTCAAATATAGCAACCGTCATGCTATTCCTTTTACTAAGTAAAGGAATATAACTTTAATAAGACCAATGGTTCTTACCTCTTCAACTTCAAAGGCTGTAGTGCAATCTTAATCTCATCATACTTGGTGCACACACACACACACAGAAAAATACTTAAAGAAATCAGACCTCAAACATCTGGAGAAACACAACATACCAGATCTATTTCTTGGTGACTCTAACACACCCATGCAGCGTGCTTGAGAAAAATGGTTTTCATGCCTGTATCCCTACAGCCCTTCTACCAGCAAGATGCTCCCAATGTCTGTACATCAGGGCAGAGCATCTAATTTTAAGAAAGATTTAATCAGCAGAATTGCAAAGAAAGAGGAGTAGGATAGTAAAGAAAAAGGCAAAGAACCTATACAATAAGCAGAGAACATGTGAACTTGGTTTGGGAATGACAATAAAATTATAGAGCCATAGAATGGTTTGGGTTGGAAGGGAAGATCAGTTTGAAGATCACCTAGTTCCAACCCCCCTGCCATAAGCAGGGACACCTCGCACCAGACCAGGTTGCTCAAAGCCCCATCCAGCCTGGTCTTGAACACCTCCAGGGATGGGGCATCCACAGCTCCTCTGACAACCTGTTCCAGTGCTTTACCACCCTCTGTGTCAAGAATTTCTTCCTAATGCCAAATCTAGATCTACCCTCTTTTAGTTTATAGCCATTCCTCCTTGTCCTATCACTACATTCGCTGACAAAGATACCCTCCCCAGCTTTCCTATAGGCCCTCTTTATGTATTGGAAGGCTGCTATAAGGTCTATGCTAAGAATAGCATCAAATCATAGAATATCCTGAGTCAGAAGAGATCCACAGGGATCATCACATCCAACTACTGCTTGTGCAAGTCCAAGTAGGTGACACCAGTTGCTCTTTCCCTATCCACCAATACCGTAACCCCATTGTAGAAGGCCACCAGATCTGTCAGACAATCTACCCTGAGTGAAGCCATGTTGGCTATAACTAATTCCCCCCTTATATTCAATGTACCTTTGCATAGTTTTTTGTTTTTTTTTTTTCATAGTTTTCCAGGAGAATTTGCTCCATGGTCTCTCCAAGCACAGAAGTGAGACTGACTGGCCTGTAGGTCCCTGGGTCTACAAAGCATGAGAAACAATACTGTCGCCACCTACACACACAAGGGGAGTAACAGCAAAGGGAAGAGAAGAGCTGACCAGCCCCAAGGCATAATGTCACAAAGAAGGAGACAAAAATCAACTAGGTGTTTTCAGTATAGAACTTTATCAATGCATATCCATGAGCATCTAAAGTTGGAATTAGCATCACACGATTACACTTCTTAAATCATAACAAAAATAAAGCCTGAAGTGTTAACCACAAAATTCAAGTGCAATTCATTTTGGGTATGTTATTACTTTTTCTAAGTGTTTCAGTGGGATAGGGTGGGGAGGTCAGAAGGAGATTGGGAGGACACGTTGTGTTTTTTTTCACTAGACTATCTATGTACATGAGGAAACAGTAAAGCATTTCAGATGCTCCAAGCACAACTTCAGTTTCCCACAAGCAGTACAGGCTTACATTAAAAGCACACCACAGAACGCTGACTAGGTATAGCTATTACCGTTTAGCATTTCATTTTTGCCGCAAACTTCAAAGTAAACCGCACCCAAAAACCTCTGCAAAGTTGTAACACGAGAGAGACCCAGCCTGCAGTGGGAAGCAGGTCATCCACAAGCTGGCATTTAAACCCTGCAGTTCGGAGGAATGACAAACGATACCACACACTTTCAGGCATACACCTGCCTCTCTGGTGCCTACAGGGAATCAGAGACCACAGAACCTGCTCTCTGCCTGTTGCCAAGGTATCCCCCTCTAACCAACATTGAAAATAAGACAAGATGGCATTCCAGTGTAAGGAACAGCTTTTGTCTTCTCCATGCCTCACTTTCACGTAGATAAAATGCTGTTAAGGTTGTGGTCTGTGCCCTCCCTCTGATATCCTATCAAAGCAGGGCTGCCTTCATCACTCCTGTACACTCACTGACAGGAGGACAGGAAAGAGCTAGAGCTTCTCCACCAGTGCTACTTCCCTGCTGTTTCTTGGTGGGCTTCAGCCCTACTTCTGCTTCTATGCAAAGGGCAGAGGGGCTGTGCCAGAGCCCTATAGCTCCGGCAGATGAACAGGGCTGGAAAGGCAGGGCTTCCAGACCAGTGGTGGCATCCTGGGCTGCTCATTCCCATCCCTACCCTCCAGAATGCAAAGAACCAGTCACTGTGTAAGAAAACATGAGAACGTGGACAAATTCCTTTAAAAGTAATATTAATTCTAAAAGGGGATCACAAATGACAGTGGTGCTGTGTTTGGCACCTGTGGTCAGCTCCAGACATCAACATGGTAAAAGTTTGAGATGGTGATGCAACACTAT